TATCCCGCCCTCCCCAGCCGAAGCCGGGCTCAGGGCGGCTAACAACAATAAAACAGTACAAAAGTACAGCATAAACAACACTCTAAAATCATTCATTATAAAATTAATTAAGAAACGTTTGGATTTGATATCCCGCTTTATCACTACGCTAAGGAGTCTCAAAGCCGCTAACAACCTCCTTTTCCTTCATCCTCCACAACAAACACTCTGTGAGGTGAGTGAGGCTGAGAGACTTCAGAGAAGTGTGACTAGCCCAAGGTCACCCAGCAGCTGCATGTGGAAGAGCGGGAAGCGAACCCGGTTCACCAGATTACAAGTCCACCGCTCTTAACCACTACACCACACTGGCTCATACATGCATACTATTAATAAAAACTGGTCAGTAGGCCTGCTGTTGCGCTTAATCAATGAGGTGCTTCTCTGTACAACCTTTAGAATAATTGTATATTTCAGGGTAGGTAAGAATTCTCTGTTAAATATGTGAATAATGACTACACACTGGCAAAAAATAACATTAAATGGGAAGAATATAATAAAGTTTAATGAAACAGAAATCACTAGGCTAGTTCACTATAAAACATCCAAACAGATTTTAATTGTGAAAACAACTTGTTTCCTTCCCTTTTTCCTTCGTGATGCTTTCCCCCCAGAAGCAGCAATGGGAAGGTCCTCCTTCAATTGGCAGAATCCAGGAGCAATGAGACCTGTGTTCATTTTCTTCTTGGTTGCTACTTGTTAGGGGGAAATACCATGGGCCTGCCTGTATTTTGGTCCTGGCGAGGATTAGGTCTGACAGGAGGAAACTTGTAATGTTGAAAAAGCATATAATGTAGCTTGGAAGGGCATGCATTCCACAGCCTCAGGGCTGTCATAGAGAAAGCCCTCGCATGTGCTACCACTGCCTGAACTTCACCAGGGCCTCTTGATGGAGAGACATGTTAATATGGGTGGAGTCTCTCCACCCAGATATTTGCGGCTCAAGTCATTTAAGGCTTCGTATGTTAAATATGGTCCTTGATTGAGGCTTGGAAGTAAATTGGTGAGTAGGTCAGATCTTTTAAGGCTGGCATAATATGTGTCTGGCTGGTGACGCCCATTAGGACCCTAGCTGCTGCATTCTGATCCAGCTGCAGCCTCTATAGTATCTATAAGGGGAGCTCCACAAAGAATGCATTACAAGTGTCCAAACAGGAGGTTACAAGAGCATGTGTTACTGTAGCTGGACTTTCTCTATCCTGGAAAAACCTGGATGGAGAACCAGCCATACCTGCAGATAGGCACTCCTAACCACTAAAGCCACCTGGGCCTCAAGTGACAACGCTAGATCCAGAAATATCTTTCCTCCCATGGCAAACTCCTGATCTGGATTAGCCCCCACAGCTGTACCTCCTATTTACAGTTTAAAAAATAAAATAAAATTGCACAATTGCTAATTGCATGAATGGTGACACATTTAGCTCTCAATTATAGTTCTCATTTGATTCCCTAAAATAATCACACAGTTGGAGTCTTCGATAGGGGAGATACATAAGCTGAAGTCGGGGCAGGGCCTCTCTGTTGCTGCAACTGCCTTATTGGGTGCACACCTAGGAGTAGCTGAGAGATGCTGGACTGATAGACATACCGTTCCCTAACTTGCAAGTATAATTTTGACAATAAAGAGTTAATTCCCCACTCTGAACATTCCGTGCCTGATGGCGCTCTGACTCTGTCACTTTTTATTCAATCTATCCACTTTCTTCTTCGAAGGACCATGCAATTGCATTCTTGGTTTGGCCACAATACCTGATAATGCTTACTGTACTTTTAATAGCTATCTGAAGGCTGAAGCCAAATTGGTATCAGCTACGCTAGTGCTGGCAAGGATTATGATGCTACCAGGATTAACTGGGCTGAAGGGAACTGAAGTGACTGGCAAGGCAGCCAATGGGTAGCATTTTTAGAATGTAAGCGTGTAAAACATCAGTTCCACCCACAGGAATTTATCAGATGTTGTCATACCAGCAGAAGTGGGATACTTCTCTCTCTTTCATACTCCTTAGGCTGTCACGCCCAAGTGCAGTAATCAAACTACAGAGAGGAAGGAGAAATCTTCAACACCTTAGTACATGTGAGGTTTTAACCTCTTGCTCTCAACTGTGGTCCCAAGCCAGATCAGTTCACTGTAATTGGGACTTCCCAAAAAGGATCTGTTGTTTTATGTCAGGGTTTGCCAACCTATTACCTGTGAAGGCCTTGCCTTACCCCCAGGCAAGGCCCCCAGACTGAGCTTTTATTGTGTTTTGTTTTGTTTACTGTAAGTATCTAGTCCTCCTAGAAAGAAAGTTATGAAGCAAAATGTGCAGGTACCCTTCTAAGCATTTTCTCTGAAATAGCCAGCTTGGCTGTTCCTGCCTGTCACAGTGTTTTTACCCACTGTATGAAGTCAGAGCTATGACTGATAAGTGAGTTGTTTGGACACCAGGCAATGGCTGGACACCCTGGGGATCTAAAGAGTTATGGTCCCCTTGCTTACTGTACTTTTCCTGCTTCTTTCTTTTCTAGTCCTTGGAATCTCCCTTTGGTTTTCCTCAGCAACCAGGATGCATCTTTCCTGTGTCCCTAGAAGTTATTTTCTGCAAATACTACTCTCCTCTCAAAATGTCAAAACTTTGCAGAGGTTTAGGAATGTTTCCTGCTGTGCAGGCCAGGCAGTCGTTATGGATTCACTGTATAGTAAACTTAGAGCACAATGAAATCCATGTCTACTCAAAAGTCTGTGGTCATTTATGACTGGTGCCCACAGTACTCTCTCAAAATTTGAAATGTGCCCACTGGTCCAAAAAGGTTGGTGGAGTTGTTATGTCCCTCTACCTCAATGGAGATCTTGTAGTCACACTGAAAACAAAGCTAATAGTGGAGCCTTAAAATGGAGTTTCTCAACTGTGCTCATGGAGTACTACATACCAGTTTTGAGTCCAGGGGAAGTAATTTGATGCTTGCCAAGGACAATAATTGATCATTTGCTCTGGAACAAAGGGTGAGCCCAGGAATGAATTTTAATGTGCCAGTATCCAAGCATCTCCCCACTGAGGACAGATTATAAATGTATTACAGGCCCATTGGTATGTAACTATAGGGGATTAGTACATTCCAACATTTCCTGTTTGCAGGGGATTGTGACTAAAAATAGAGCTAAGACTGCAAGAAATAAGCTTTTTTAAAACACACACACACACACACACACACACACACACACACACGATTAGAGTAGTCAGTAAGAGTATTTCTACGGCCCATGCTAATTCATAAATGAGCATTCAAATTCCTAGCGACTATATTTAAGCAGACCACTTAGAACAAACCCTGTTTGCCTAATCTTTAACAAATTAAATTCTTAGCGTCTGAAAGCCAAGAAGGTTTTTACACAAGTTGGTACCTTTTTTTTTTGCTCTTGCCCTTTGCAGAACTCTTCCCAGTAGGTAAATCTTTGCTACTTCTATAGCTGGTCCTGCTTTTCTCTTATCTAGAATGGTCATTTACACTCTATATTTGTCTTTAATACAAGAATTAACACAGACATCACCAGAAGTGTTTCTCCTCTTAGGACCACACCCACCCACCCACAACTCACATTATCAGTAATTAATTGCTACACTTAATTGCTTCTCATGCTATGCCAATGTAATGAATGGGAAAAAGAGCTAGGAGCATGCCACTTGTTCTTTAAAAACCCCCAAACAAAAGTACTGTATTTGTACAGTGTTTACAGAGGAAAAATACACCACCGTCTGATTTTAACCTTAAAAAATGGCATGCAGGTATGTAAAAAGGAAGTAACCTTGCTAATGTTTGCTTCAACAGACTTTTTTTATTGCTACATGATGTTGTCATACTGGAGTACTAAAATGACAAACGTGTCTGTCTCTAATAGTGCAATCGTATAATCAACTCAGAAATCAGGCAGAGATAACCTGGAGCTACTTCCAGGTAAAACGCACTTGGAACTGCACCCTAAAGCTGAAAAAGTTATTAAATAAAACTAAACAAACAGTCATAAAAATTGCACAGGTATTGGGAAGGACTTAAGACACCTTTATCATTTCTATCATAGCATTATCAAATAGGTATTCGTGATAGTCATGAAACCACATTTCACACAGTAAAAACAGCAACGATGGATGTGTTATCTGGAAAACAAATTGCATTTCCCCAGATACAACTATGGTACATTACATGCTGGAAATTGTAGTAGAAGTAATAATAATAATAATAAGAATAATAATAATGTTCCAGCAATAGAAGCAAGATTTGAGAGAATATATCTGGAGTGGACAATACATAACAAATGCCTATCAACTGATCTTGCGGCAAGGCAGACCCCAGATACTAGCCCTAACACATATTCATGCAAATGACTTCAAAAACACCCCAGCTGTTCTTTTCTTTAACAGCCAGATAAATAACTGTGTATTTGCTGTACTGGAATAATCTGTAGATCACAACTAAATATAAGCCTTTCTCTGTTTACAATTAAGCAAACGCTGAGATATCTCAACGGAAATCTGTTACAGCACTGGCCTTCCTAAAAACAAACAAACAAACCGAGCCAAACAGGCTTGTAATTCCTGTGTGAATGAAGACTTTGAGAACGCTTATTCTGTTTTTCTAAGATGCACATTCTGTTGCATGCACACGCCTTCCCCCTTACAGCGGACAGAAGCTGGAAGCCTGCGCATGTGGGTGTTTCATGTAGCTTTGGATGAGATCCAAGACTGCCAACCTGCACTCTAGTTGCTCATCCACTAATGCCAATTAAATAAATTGCTACCAATGCATTTGGAAACAGCTCTTCAAAGATTTAATATTAAAACCTTAAAACTATGGTAATGATTGAAGGGGGGAGGGGGAAGGGAGGGAAAGAGAGAGAGTGCTGACAGGGATAGTAAGAAGACTATGAGGTTCAGAATGATGTGCAGTTTGGAGAAAAGATTACAAAATAAAGGGAAAGGCAAAGTTACCGGGTAACCAACTCGTCCTGACTGCCCCTGTGATATTAAATAAGGAAAACAATAAGATCAGTCAATTGCACTTAACAGCAGCAAGGCATCATAGAATATAAAAAGTCAGGGGTTGATCTGAAAGGGAACAGAAGCTCTGCAGGGGACAACTCCTGTCCCCTGAGAAGCAGGAGAGCAGAACAGAGCTTATGGCTGGGTATAGTATACTCTTTTTTATTTTTTATCTGCGCAACAACCATATGAGGTAGACTGGGTTATCAGATTGTGATCTGCCTAAGACCATTCTCCATTACGGGTAGTATTCAGCTAAGTTTTACTCGGAGTGCACCCACTGAAATTAATGGACTTAGTCAATTTCAATGGATCTACACTGAGTAAAACTTTACTCAGCAAAGATTTAAACTCTCGTCCTGCAGGCTTATACCCAACACACAGAACACATAGTCCACATAGAACAACTTTTTCTAGGAGTAATTTTTCTACTGACAGGGGATACCTGATACAGTATATCTAAGAACTGAAAGCAGTGTTGAAACCCAAAATTCAGCTGAAAAGTAACCTTCAAGTGTCTCTGTTAGTTAATGCACGTGGTGCTTTCCCCAAACATACCCTCATGATCCCACTTGATCTTGTAGTCCTTAACGCATCACCATGTTCAAGTCACTAGGATCACACATAATCACCTTCATTGTTAAAAAACAATTGTAGCCAAATATTTGATTCTGTAGCTCTATGGTCATGCTGTTCAAGTGCAATTGGAATACTCATGGTGAACTTAAGAGTGCAATTAGAGTACATGGGTGAACTTTGCCTCCCTGCTTTTTCTTCTTTTTGAGCTACAAGTGGACATCGGCTGGGAGGAGATGAGTCCTTCTCAGAGGGAGAGGAAGAGCAGCTTGCTTCCTTGACCCCTTTGCTTTGCCTTAGGCTGGCCCATTGCCTAATGTTGCTTCCAACCAGAGATATAAATTCTTTTCTGCAAATGTAAGGCAGCAAGAGCTGCATCTGTACAGCAGGGTCAGGTTACACTATGCAGTGTGTACATATAACAGAGGCATAAACCTATATTATTTATATATACATGCAGTAGTGGCATAAAAATGTATTAGCTGACACACTCTTTAATTCTATGCTGCGAAGTTCATGCCTCTTCTATTACAACCCTTGAGAAGGTCATGAGCCGAAGGGGAATATGCAAGTATTTTTATGGGCATAAGTTTAATATGTATTTGGCATCTGGATCACTGAATGATATCTGGACAACAGTAACTCAGTTTACACCTTCAGACAAATGTTCTTCCTTTTTTAAAAGTTTCTGCCTGGTTCCATAGCCGAAATGCTTAATAAGAAACAACGGCTTTAAATAATGGAGCACTTTGAGCCATTCAAAATTCTCCTCACACCAAACTGACCCATTGTGATAATTTTGTTTAGCAAAATAGGAACTCAGAATGAAATATAGGATTGGTTCTGGATATCTGAAGTTTATCTGGGGCAGAGGCAATCCATGCACTCCTTACAGTACCTTTTCTTACAATGGGTGACATTCACATTAGAGGAACTCCTCATAAGAAAGGAAGGTTTAGAGATGACAATTGGTAGATGAGGGTGAAAAAGGAGAAAGAATATGTCTCTCCACTTATTTTATCTTTTTTCACCTGCTTTGTTCATGTCACCTCTAAAATGAGAGACATATGTCCACCTCTCACTAAGAGAGGAAGTGCCTAGGGCCAACAGGCCTACCCATTTCAGTAACAGTAGTAGAGGTAGTAGTAATTGTAGTAGTGGTAACTGTAATAATAATACTGAAAACCCAGTAATAATGGACTCAGTATGTACTATGCAGTTCAGAACTCTCCTGTGTCAGTGACCCTCCATACTCTCTACCTTACCATACAAAGTGTTTTATAATATTTTGTATGGTTGGTGCTAAATTATGAGAGCATGGTAAATATATCAGGCTGCAGAAATTACCTACTCAGCATGTGACTTTAATATCCTCTGTAACCAGCTCTTTTGAAGCACTTTTGAACAGCATACTCATTCTGCAGACAGGATGGTCAGTCATCTAGCAGCCATAAATACTGAACCACAAAGTTTAATATTTAATATGTGAACCCAATTTATGGCAACTGAAAAGTAACAAGCAGCTTTGGTGGCATAGGGAGTGAAGAATGAATTTTCGGCATAGTATGATGCTTTATGGTATGTGTAGTAATGAATTCCTTATGGCTGAAGAAAGAAAATAAAGGGGGGCATGCTCAGAAGAAACCAATTGTCTTAAATGTAATGCTGTCCAAATACAAAAATATTGGGGACAGTAGAAGGACTTTGTCATTGTTGTAGTTAAGGCTTAGAAAGAAACAATGCTATGCAACTGTGAAAAAGTATTATACGGAGGTAAATGAAAACCTTATTTAGGTGAAAAAGGCATATTTGCAATTCAGTCATAGTACATCAGTTCCAAATGAAACTGATTGGATGCAAAAATGGAATAAATCTTGCATGAACAGTCCAATTTAAAAAGTAAACAAACTGCACAGTGGAAAGAGGATCAGGGTCTGGTCTTGCAAGTAGCAATGGATGCAATCTAAAGCAACCAAGTACAGTCCTTTTAACATCTATGCAGCTCCTCATGGAAACACACCATGATAATTCACATGTGTTATTGATAGCTAAATTGGAACCCAATAAGGTTACATTTTCAGTTATAATATTATGAGGTATGGCAAGCAACAACATTTAATTATCTCCATGATTTTAAAAAAATCCAGTGAAAAGTTACTATAAACAAGTTGGCTACACTTTGTCTCTCATGAATTATCAGTGAGCACACATTGCAAATTCTATTGTAGCAGTTCCTGCAGAATTGGCTAAAAGACTCTAAACAGAGTGCCAAGCTGTCATATAGCCCAGCATAAATCCCCAGTGCAATGGTTTTAAAATGAGCTCCCACTGTCATAGTCAAATTCTACTAATAATTACCAGTGACCCACAAATTCCATGAAACTGGTAGATTAGTGCAGTATCTATATTTTAAAGCCTGAACTGGAAAGTACTTTGAGCAGATCTGTTTCAAGAATCCAGTAGAATAAAATATATCACTAAAATATGTTTGTCATTAATTTTCTTTATAACATCCATCACTGGCTTAATGCTCATGCAGGATAACAAAGCACAGCAAGAACAAGTTTTCTACAACCTCCAATTTCTGATTTTTCTGCAGCAAACTTAAGAAGGAGAAAAAAAAGTTTCAACTCCTATTGCATGGCATGCCTAATGTTCAAGATACAACAGCAAATTTCAAAACTGGCACTTTGATAAATAAATATCTGAAACCTCAAATCCAACCTCAAACAGTTTAAAATCTATATTAGCCAATGCTGTATTAGAAGGATGTTTATGGAGGGGATACAGAAGTGGGTTTGTTAATGTTACATTTTAAATATTATATGGAAAGCATTTTCTGAGTCTTAAGGGTACTAAATTGCATTTCCACCATTCACAATTGCAGGCAAGTGCTAAGAAAGATGTGAAATGGGGCACATTATTAAACTAAAAACACACTTACCACCACTTTTGTGAAATTGCCTCAAGTGGCAGAATTCAACAGAGTTCTAAATATGTATTTTCTTTCTTGATAGATTTTGGTTGTTTGTTTTACTACCAGACGCTAAATAAATTTAAATATTTTTTTGTATTTGCTCTTATATTTGAGAGGGAAGTTACTAATTTGAAGGAACCTCTCTATACAACTTTTATGAGCCCAGCTGATGAAACCACAGAGAACAGAATTATTCAAAGCAGCTTCACAGTCTGACACAGTGTTTCCCTTGGACCCTTTGACAAATCACACCCAACCCAACTTAATGGGTAAAATGAAAAGCTAGGTAGAACACCCATCATCTCCTGAGGTGAAACAGGAATTGCCGCCTCCTGCCCCCGTGCTGTGCCCCCGCTTCCGCTGCTGCCACACTCTGGCTCTCGCTAAACTGCTGCTCAAAGAGTTGCTGCTTGGCTTCTTGCTGTTGCGAAGCAAAGCAGATGGGAAACATGGCACACAGGAATGCCCCAGCTCTCACCAAATCCGTCAGGAGCCAGGGTGCTCCTAAACGGCCTCGGCCCAGTATACCTGAAGGAGCGTCTCCACACCCATTATTCTGCCCAGACGCTGAGGTCCAGCACCAAGGGCCTTCTAGTGGTTCCCTCACTGCGAGAAGCAAAGCTACAGGGAACCAGGCAGAGGGCCTTCTCGGTAGCGGCACCCACCCTGTGGAATGCCCTCCCATCAGATGTCAAAGAGATAAACAACTACCTGATATTGAGAAGACATCTGAAGGCTGCCCTGTTCAGGGAAGTTTTTAAAGTGTGACATTTTAATGTATTTTTAATCTTTGTTGGAAGCCGCCCAGAGTGGCTGGGGAGACCCAGCCCGATGGACGGGGTACAAATAATAAATTATAATTATATAAAGTGCTGCCGCTCAGCTTCCCTGCAGGTGAGGGAACTGCTTGGCAGTGTGGTAGAGCCCTGGCTTTCACAAAACTTGGCGAGAGCTGGGGCAATCCTTTCACTGTTGCTGCTCACTCAGCTTCTCCACCTTTAAGTGGGGAAGATTAGTGGCAACAGTGCATGCCAGAACGCCTCCCTCTTGGCAGCAGAAGTGGCGGAGCATCACCTCTTGCACTTCCACTGCCTGAGGTGGGCACTTCACCCTATCTCATAGGGAGGCCAGCTCTGCCTCCTCTTCTCCCACTATAGCTGCCTCCCACTTGCCTTTGTGCTGCTGAAGTACACTGTGCCTGGCTGGATGTCAGAATATACATTTACAGCATGTACAAAGCACCCCCCCCTGAAACACACACACACACAAAATCAGGGCACTGTAGTCAATCCCTCAGACAGTTACGATTTCCAGGAACTCTTAAACTACAGTGTCTGGAATTCTTTGAGGGGGGGAAATGCGTTTCAAATGTGCTTTAAAGTTATAGAGCATATAACTGGTCTCTCTTCATGTTATTGCTAAGGCAGCACATGTAAGGGTGAAGAGTGTAGGTAGGAATGGAAAGCAGAGCTAGGATTTAGATGACTGTCCCATTAAAACACATTTGCAACACTGGTTTAAAACATTTTTTTCCAGTAAGTTCTGGGTCTGCAGTGTTTACAACTTTCTGAACAACCTCAGTTGCGCAGCTCCCCAGCCACAATGCGGTGCATTTAGTCACAGCTTTGTGCCATCAGCATCAGTAGCAACCACCCCTCAGACATGTTAGAGGCTGCTGGGAGCTGGTGAGGTAATTTAACATTTGCAATAAATAATACAAGCATAAAACAGGCATATTGTTCATTTATTTTTGAGACCCACAAAAAGATGTTTGAAAAAAATATATGTTTTTACTAGATTTAAAATGGCCAAAAAGCCATGTAGGCAGAGAGTGAAAAAAGCATTTCCCAAACATTCCTATAACAAGCACAGGGGAAAGCAGCATCTGGTACCAATTTATGCCCTAGACACACCTCTACCAAAAGTACTGTTCCCGTGAAATGACACAGAAAGGAAAATAAATGCCTTAACTTTGTTGACTCATGATCAAGAGTAACATCCATGTACTTACTGGAGGACCTGAAAAACAAAACACAACACATTTAGCATTAATTACAGAGAACAGAGAGTATTTTCCTACCATATAAATGTTCATTCTGAGGATGACAAATTGTGTGAGAACTGCTCTCCTCCAAAGCACGAACAGTACAACATACAGGTATTTCACACTGTAGCATCAGTTTTAGTGTGATATCATGTAGTGTTAAGAAAATTAGTATAGTAGGTTTAGAAAGAAAAGAAAAACACCTCCCCAAAAAACACTTAAAGCAAAGAAAATAGTAAGGCAACTTCACAGCATGAGTGCTGAACCATTAGAAAGGACAGAACAAATTTGACTCCTAAGGGTGAAGTTGGAAGAACGTAGGGTCAAAAAAATACAATTTTGGGGCCAGATAAAATAGGGCAGGTGACCATCCTACTTCTAGTTTGTTAAGCTTCCAACCTGCATGCCACAGATGCTGGTAGAATGTCTCTTTTCCTTGCCCCACACAGAAGGAAAAGTTCAGCTGGAATCAGTTCCCTCTTGGAAAGGCTTCCTAGCTATCTCTCGTATCTTCATGTGTGAGATTTTACCTACAAAGGAAGACACAGTATACATATGTGTCTTTTTTGGACACTACAGGTGGTGGATCACATGTTTGGATTACTTTGCAGCTAATAAATCAAAGACAATGGCTTCAGCCTTCTCTCTCTCTCTCATGCTAATAGCTCCCCATCTGAAGTCTAAAGTGGTACTTTCTAAAGAAGACTTTACCTTGAACTATTTTTTTGTATATTTAAATTGGCTCACAGTCAAGCACAATAAAGTGAAACCTCTGGAGCGCTAATATTTGTTTCACTAATAAAGACGCACTCTTCATACCCCAGCTCAGTTTGCTATATCCCCACAAAGACCCCTGCCCAACACAGAGGTGAGCATTTAGTTTGAAGAGACTAATGGAATCCACATTTCACTCCTATTAAAAGAGGCATTTTACACTCTCTTTTCTTTCTCTTTTAGCTTCTTCATGCTCCATTTCCTACATGATCAAAACCAGAAGGATTAAAGGAGGGGGGGAATGTGGGAAAAATTAAAGAAAAACTGAACTCCCTGGAAAACAATATAAAATGAGAAACATGCTTTTGTTTGTTTATGCAAGTATCTTCAAACACTAAACCTATTTTAAAGGCTCTTTTAATACCATCATCAACCTGAAGAATGGAATTAATAATCACAGGCACATTACAGAATCCACTGACTTCACTGTGGCTTACTGTCTGATCCCCAGATCACTTAGGCTGCTGCTGCTGAAGAGCCACAGCTCAGGGTGGTGTGGGAAACCAGCCCCAGTTAAATAGCCTTTTATTAAAGCTAATGTGTTTGAATGCAGACTTGGATCCTGCAGGGGCTACTGCTTGAGGAAGGGAGAGCGATGCAATTTTCACCAGTATTCCCTGCAGTCTCCAACACTGCCTTCCCATGCTCCTCCAAAACATTATCCAATCCTTTTTTAAAGGGTGGTAGGTTGTAGGGTGAATTAATCAAAATTGCCTCTTGTGTTTCCCAGTTGCCACTTGTGTTTCCCAAGAGAAGAATTCTGCTCATGTTTAGTGTGGATCCAACCTTTTGCACATGATAACAACACTTCCATACATTGGGTACGGGGGTGGGGATTCATGAATTGATGATGGTCCCCTTATGTAGAAAACTATGGCTTTTTATATCTGCTGACTCTAAGAAGGTAGATGGAAGCACAGCAAGTTCAGTCTAGACCAGAAATCAAAAGGTTTTCTTATACAAGGAAGTGCGTTTTGTATATGTAGAGATCTGAGCTGGAGAACACTGCTTTCATTTCTAGGGATTGTACGCAAGCAGATACATCAGAGAATGTTCCATTGTGCAAAGAGAAATCCTTGTGCTGATGGAATGTTTTGCTTAGCACTACATTGAATGTAATGCAAATCCAACAGCAAATCCAACATGTCTACACAGAAGCAAGTTCTACTGTTCAAACGGGTCTTCCTCCCACATAAGTAGTGTTAGGATTGCAGTCTCAAATGTCATAAAATCAAAATACAGTGGTATCTCGGGTTACATATGCTTCAGGTTACATACGCTTCAGGTTAGACTTGGCTAACCCAGAAATAGTGCTTCAGGTTAAGAACTTTGCTTCAGGATAAGAACAGAAATCGTGCTCCGGCAGTGCAGCGGCTGCAGGAGGCCCCATTAGCTAAAGTGGTGCTTCAGGTTAAGAACAGTTTCAGGTTAAGAACAGACCTCCGGAATAAATTAAGTACTTAATCCGAGGTACCACTGTAGTTTCATGTCTTAAACTAAGCTCATAATTTCAACAGGCCTAACAATTTGTGATTTAAAAAATAAAAACATTTGCATTGGCCATCATTAGGCTCTTGGGTCAGCAGTATAATTAGCTGGCAAGTGGAGTTGACATGTGTTACATCACATAACCACTTTCTTTCGTTATGAAAATAACCTCTACAGGGGGAAAAAATTAATTTCAAAGATTAATTAGTTCCCAGCTAAACCCTGCATTTCCAGAATTATTTTGTTAATGATCACCCACATTAACACAAGGAACCCATGTTGCTGGACATTTTCTTGGACTTGGCTATGAAATACTTGCAGCTGTGATTAAGTGAAGAAAATCTGAAACACACACACACTATATTTTACAGCATAATTGGAAGGGGGGCATCGTTGCATCATCCACAAGCAGGCATTGTATTTCAGTACAGTGCATTTCAAAACAAGTTAGGTATTTTTTGTGAGGCACATTCTATTGTATAGTCTTCAGTCAAGCTTCTCAGTATACTCTATGGGTCCAGGTCCATTGATTTCAACAGGTCTACTCTGAGGATGACTAGCAATTGATTTCACCATATACCTTTTACCATGACATGTCTACAATACTGTCCTCATATTATATCAGTGTTGAATGCCCTCTAATGGTATTTCACGTCTCAGGGCGGTTCACAGAATAAAATCAGAATATAAACCACAAAATACATAATCAAAGTAAGAACAACAACAACCCAATAACTCTCCCCAACACATTTTAAAAAAAGGTATATAATGAAGCATTATACAAATGGGGAGCCACTGCAGAGAAGGCCCGTTCTTGCCTTTTATGTATTAGTTGTAAATTATTCCAAGTACAAATGCAGAAGAGTGGGGTAGAAATAAACTATTCTTGATGTTGTTAACAGAGCCTAGCTACTTTCTAATCAGCACCACTGCAATCAAATGCCACTCATGTTCAAAATCTTCAGCCAAATTGAATTGCCAACACCAACAGTAACTAATGAGAAACCTGGAACGCTGGGAGGCATATCACATTTTAACATTACATTAAACAGTGAGTGCAATCTGGAGAGTTAAATGACAATTAACCTTATTAGCTCACATCCAGCATTATCATCTCCCATGTGAAGATGACTATGTGCTACCCCGGTGCTACCCCAGTAGCCTCCACAAGTTGGAAGGGGCACATCAGAAACCCCGTATTTATGCTGATTCCTGAACAATCTAGAAAACTTATATTCCAGCCTTCTAAATCATGTAGTAAGTCTCCATATGCACATGAAGCTCCCTGCTTCACAAGTAGGGATGGGTGACAGGGCTGAAGGTGTATCTTAGCATGCTTGTCCCTGTTCTCCTTCACATGATGCTACTTGGGTGGGAGGCTGTTACAGTCATACCTTGGGTTACAGACGCTTCAGGTTGTGTGTTTTTGGGTTACAGACGTGCCAAAACCCGGAAGTACCAGAATGGGTTAGTTCTAGGTTTTGGCGCTTGCGCAAAAACACTAAATCACTCTTTGAGCATGTGCAGAAGCGCCGAATCGCAACCCATGCGTGCGCAGACATAGCACTGCGGGTTGCGGATGCTGCGGGCTGTGAATGTGCCTCCTGCACAGATCACGTTCGCAACCCGAGTGTCCACTGTATAATGCTTTGAGAGAGCTGTTTTCTACAGTAATAACAGTATCACTAATAGCAGATGGCTGAACAAATAAAATTATTGCATAGCATCTTTTAATTGAGTGACTGGTAAAAAAAAAGTTTGAAATATTCCTTCCTTTCTATGCACAGTACTGAAGTCTGAAAGTAATTGGGTGATGGTGCTAATGCTGGGTGAATTAAGGCAGACCTGAAGGGTTTTGAGTACACTGTGAAAGTGTGTTGAATGGTAACCATGATGTGATCTTACGTACTGTCAGAGCTGGGCCAAAGGCAAAGACACAGTGTGTGGAAAGTATGGATCCAGGAAGCAGAGACTGCAATAGAGCTTCAGATCAGACCTTATTGAAAGGCAGAGGAAGAGCTGCATAAGCCAAACACTGCATAATAGGGTAAATCTCAAAGCAGGATCAGTCACAGACCAGGGAATACAGTTGAGCCAAGCAGTTTACTGGAACAAAGATGATGGGAAGGAGCAAGTTGAAAGGCAAGCAGGCATAAGAACAAGGGAGCTGGATGACATTGATGTGCTGGTGTGTGTGTGGGTGTTGGGATGTGGCAGACCAGAAGACAATCTGGACTCTAGCTGTGGGTATTCTAAAGGGAAAGTAGAGATTCATATAGACAAGGCCAGAATCTTGATGTCATCTAGGCAAAGATCTAGGCTTTACTTGGAACTATTTATAATCAAATCCTGACCTGGAAAAACCAATAGACTACTTGGGGCATGGAGCCTAGGAAGTCAAGACGGTCCCTTTCCGTCCAAGTTTTCACGTACTTACAGTGCAGACCAGGAGGCTCCATGTCGGAACCCTAACATGTCCTGAGGTATAAAACTTAATGGAAGGATGAATTGGTTTTACTTCTCAAGTTGACCAGTACAAAGACTTTGTGGTTTGGCTTAATGACAAGTTATTGGTCAGAAAATCACAAGTCTTCATTTATTCCTCTTAAGAGAAATTTATATGCTCTCCAGGATATATTTTATGACCTATACTGCCTAAGTGATGTATGAATTAGGTGACAAGTAAAATTTCTACATAATGTACCATGAGATA